GTGATGACTCACCAGGCCCCTTCCCCTGCCATCAGCATTCATGGGAGGATTCTGCGCTCCCCCACCAGCCAGAGCCTCTGGGGAGGGGACCCCAAGCTCACGGGCAGGGGGGTGTCTGAAGGCATCCCAGTCAGGCCCCCCACATCTCACTCCTCAGACCAGGTGCTCCTTGCAGCCCGGGGGTGGGGCAGGCAGTCTTCTCAGCAGCTCAAGGGCAGGAAGGGACTGCAGAGGTTCAAAACATCACCATGGCAGGTGTCCACGCCCCACACACTCATCCTCTCATGGGTGCCCACTCTGCCAGTCCACCCCGACCTACGTTTGGGGCTGGCGAGAGGCCAGTGAGCAGACGGAGTTCTGCAGGTGACCTCATACCTGTCCTCCCCAGAACCTCAGTGAGGAGAGGATGCACCTGGGAGCCCTCGGCAGTCCCTGTGCCCAGGGATGAAGCATCCAAGGAGGGGTTTCAGGCCCAGAAAGTAGCAAGGGCAGTGGGGGGAGGAGGAGGGTGGCAGTGGAAGGAACACACCTCATCCACTTTCCTTGATAAGCCCCCTCTCCAGGAGCTATGGAGCCCAAAGCCCACAGCAACATTCTAGAAGCTAAAAACCATGCATCATACCCCACCATGCCCCCACACCCCAAGACCTAGGCATCGGGGGGGATGGGCCTCCCAGGCAGGGCCTAAAGGGCAGATCCACCAGCAGCCCCCAACCCCCTTGGGCCCCCCAAAATGAGGAAGTCCCATAGCCAACACCAAGCCAAGGCTGGAGGAGACCACTGCCCAGCCACACTCGCAGCCCTCACCCCCAAGGCAGCCCATGGACCCTCCATGAATGACCTCTAGCCCTCCCGGCCCCACAATGCTCCTCCGTGAGTCCAGAGCCTCCCACTCCCATCTAGGGCAGCCCAGACACAACCCTGCAGTTGGGGCAGGATGCAGAGACCAGACAGGACCACAGCTGGCTCCGTCTCTCACCCAGGCCCGGCCTCCTCCTCCAGGAAGCCTCCCTCCCCATTCTCTGTTCTGGGCTTCCTTTGAATGCAGGGTCTGACAAGCCTGCATCCCCCGGAATGGTACCTGCAGCAGGCAACAAGGACAGAGCTGAGGGAGAGCTCCAAGACAAGCACACCTACAGTCCTGGGCTGGGTCTTCTTGACTCTCCAGGGCTCTGGGGTGGCGAGCAGTTGGGGGACCCCAAGGGAGCAGAAGCCATGAGAAGGCCATGGGCACCTACCTGGCCAGACCAAGGTCCCACTCAAAGAGGAACCACCCCAAAAGCCGAAACAAAGATGGGAGGTTGCCAGTGGCGTGGCGTACCCAGCTGAGAGGCAGCAGGGGCCTGGCCTGGGGGCACACACCCCAGCGGGGGCAGATCAGCGGGTAGAGGAGAACACAGCCACCTACCCGGGGCCCCAGGCAGAGCGGGCTCTGAGGCAGCTCTGAGGAGCCAGGAAGGCCCTGCCAACGCAAACAGTCCTGTGGTGTCGGCCTTCCTGCTGCTGATCCAGCCCTGCAGGCCCAAGGCCCACCCAGGCCCCCACCGTGGGGGAGGGGCGCACACACCCCCTCCCCCACAGAGCCAAGGCAAGGCCAGCTCCCCACAGCCAAACTGGAGCCTCCGGGGCTGGGAGACACCCACTCCAGGGGAGGGGCCCCCAGTCTCTCCTGGGCCCAGCAAGGCCAACCCCCACCTCAGGGTCTTCCCCCCACATCCCTGCTCCTCCTCCCCCTCCCCCTCAGGTATTTCTCTGCTGGAGGTGGCAGTGGAGAGGACACCATCAGGACCCCTAGGGGGCCGCCTTTCCACCCACCACAGGCCCTGGGAGCACCCTGCCTCAGGCACCCACAGAGTGTGCCCGCCCGCCTCCAGGCCACCAAGACCCCTATGGAGCACGGCCACATGGGGCCCAGGCTGCAGGGCCGGCAGGCAGCGCTGTTCCCAAATGCCCTGAGCCCAGGCTTGTCCACAGGGTGGCCAGGTGAGGGCCAGCGAGCCTCAAGCATGCCTGCAAACACCACCAGGCCGGGACTACTACTGGTACCGCAGGCAAGGAACCCCATCTGACCCTGGGAAGGCGTCTGAGCGTGTGTGTTCTGGGACCCCACCCCACCCTGCACATCTACCCAAAGCAAGACGGGCTAGGGGCCAAGCCTGCACAGCCAGGATCGGGACCCTCCAGCTGGGCAGCTTCTGGTTCTACCCACACGGTACAGATGGAGAAACTGATGCCAGGACCCACGGGCAGGGTCCGCTGACGCCCCGTATACAGGGCAATGCTCTGGGCCAGAGCTTCTCAGCAGCAAAGTCTTGAACCGCCGAGCTCGCCTTGATCCCTGCCTGCCCTGCAGTGACCCTCTTCTGGCAGGAAACGTGGCTCACGGGTTCCCAACCACATGTGAGCACAGCCCTCCCTCCCTCCCTAAGCCTCCCGCCACTGGGGGCAGGATACCCCATTCTCGAAAAACTGGCACTCTCCCTCCCCGGAGGCCTGGGCCACATCTGTGCTGACACTGCACACAGAGAGGGGAAGCAAGGGCCCCCCCTTTCCTTGCAGGCAGGCGAGGCCCCCCCCGTCCCTACTCCCCACCAGTGCCCTGGGCCCCCATGTCTCCCTCCTGCCCACCCTGAGGAGAGCCAGGCCCAGGGCCCAGCTACTCCCCCACAACACACACAGAGGGACACGGCCATCCAGGGCAGAGGCAGGGGGCAGGGCTGACCTCTGAGGCTCCCAGTGTCCTCCGGTCAGGGCTGAGCGAAGACAGGGTAGAGACAGAGAAGAGGACCAAACACCCCAAGGGGCCTCGGCGCACACCTGTGTTGAGAGCATGCACACAGGCTGCGGGGAGGGGGGGCAGCCGTGATGCTCCCCATGCCCTCTCCCTGGAAATCAGGGAGCAGAGGGAGGAGCCCGGGAAGAGGAGGCCACCACCACCCCCAAATCTACACACAGCTCACAGAATTCCAGGAATGTCAACTTGGCTCTGGCCAGGATTAGGGAGGGAGGCTCATTCCCCTCACTCTTTCGGAGTAAACAACTGCTCAGGGCAGGAGCATGGGTGGGGCAGGCCCTGGGCCCCTCCTCCAGGAAGCCTTCCACCACCACCCCCAGCTCCCTAAGGCCCACCCGCTCACAGCCTGGATCCCCTCCACTGGGTCCCTCACCTCCACCGTTGCCAGCAGCCTCTGCCGCTGAGCCTGGGTCTGACCCCAGGCCACTGTGACTCAAGGCCCCCTATCCTGTCCCTCTGTCCGGGGACAGGATGTGCGTCCAGCGGGGGGCAGCTGGGAAGGGAAGCAGCCTCACTCGTGGCTCTGCACGTGGCAGTGTGGGGGATGACAAATGCACTGGGCAGCCTGTCCGGGACCCAGGCAAAGGTGGGGGCACAAACTCCAGGCAGGGGGCAGCTCTGGCCAGCCACACCCAGGCCCCAGGGAACCCTCTGGCTCCCTCCCCCTCAGCTAAAGCCAGAATCTATCATCCACCTGAGAGGGCGGGTAACTGATGCCTGGGACTCAGCACAGGCCCCACTCACCCCCAGCAGAGATCCAGAGGCCCCAGGCCAGGGAACCTGACCAGGCCCCTCCCACCAACACCCTGCCTAAGTCACAGGTGCCACATCCCCCCCACAGCCCAGAAATTTACCTCCTCCAGGGAGCCTTCCCTGCCTCTCACTGCACACTGATCTCCCCCCAGCCTCCAGCCCCGGGATCAAGTAGCTCACCTTACCCCATTTCCAGAGACACAGCCTCACCTTCCTTTAAATCTTCTGTGGCTCTTGCCCCATCACCTCTAGCCCTACCACCTGCTCTGGCCCTAGCACAAACTTGTGGCCTGGACCTGCCCCTCAGGTATGGCCTCCAGGCCTCCATCCAGGGGTTCCTTTTCCAGGATCAGTCCACTCCCTTACACACACTCAGGCTCACTCCTGGTAAAATCGTGCTCTTCAAGGTTCAACTCAAAAGGCACCTCTTCCATGACGCCCTCCCTGACCACCCTCTCCAGCCTCCGCCCCTTTCTGAGTCCTCAGAGGCCGGACGCCCCCAGATCACGGGTACCCAGCACAGCCTGGCCCGGGGTGGGTGCAGACCCCGCCCGCACCCCCTCCCAGACCCTTCCTCCGGAGGAAGGGAGGAGGGACGCGAGCCGAAGCGGATCGCTGGGGCGCTGCGGGGAGAGGAGCTGCCGCTGAGCCCGCCGCGCCCTCCCGCCGTCGGGGCTGCAGGTAACTGCCCGGCCGGGACCGACACCGTGCGAGCGAGCGGGCCGGGCCACGGCTGAGAACCGGACCGCCAAACTCAGCCCCAGAGATCCCCCCCCCGGGCGCGCGAGGTCAGGGGCTCCAGGCGGGGAGAGCCTTCTCCCCGGCCGGGCCAGGAGGGGCGGCGGGAAGGCTCGTCCGTGGCCG